CTCAAAGAAGCACTTGAGAAGAAAGACGAAGAAGTTGAAGAATTGAAACTTGAGAACGCCGCAACAAAAGAGAGCCTTGAAGCATTGAAGGCTTTCATGAGGAGCAAATTTCCAGATTTTCATTTTTAGATTTTCACATCGGTTTTAGTTTTTTCTTGTAATTTACGTTTAAAATACTTCTGAATACTTTAAATTACATTTTCAATGTATTTTTATTTTTTTTATTTAAATTATTTCGTAATTTAAATCATTAATAGATTAAATAATAAATAATTTAATTTTTTTACAAAAATAGCAAATCCGTAGGAAAACGGTCGGACCGTCGGAAATTTCCGACGGATAAGACGGTCAAAAATTTCTGACGAACTCGCCGGTCGGAAATTTCCGACGGTACAGCCGATCAGAAAATTCCGATGGTAATGTCCGTCGAAAATTTCCAACGGTATTGCTGGAAGGAATTTTCCGACAGCATTTGCAACGACACGTATCGGTCGGAAATCCGTCGGAAAATTTCCGACGGATTCCGACCGATCTTTCATTTCCGACCACCTATACCCGACGGATAGTATGGTCGAAAATCCGTCGGAAACAGGTGTCCGTCGGAAACAGCTTAGTTTTCTTGTAGTGGTTGGATTAGCTCGTCCTACAAGTTGAAAGTATTGCGGTGGAGCCTATTTCAACAGCTTGTTAGCTAACCAAGAGTTCTTCTGTTTTGGCTTCATGATCCATATATTATTTAGGTTACAAGCAAGGACTACTTGAGTGAACCATGTTACCAAGACAAAGACATACTTAAAGAAAAACATTTGTTAATTTTGAATGCATAAGTCTGTCCCAATAATACATGTTTTTTTTTATTAAATTATTCTAAGAAGTTGTTATGTTAAAAAAGGAAAATTTGTTTTTTCTAACTGAAAAACTGTTTTTTACAACTCTACTATATGGTTAAAATAGCTGTAAAAACCTAAGAAAATGTATCTATAAAATGCATACCTTACAAAATATTCAATGAAGATCATAAAATGGAAAAACAACAAAACTGGTCTTTAATAGCTTGTGTCTTTCTATTCCTATCTTTGGCATCCCAAATCCAATGTACGAGCCAAAGTCATTCCAATGCGATTCGTCGCATAAACGGACCTTCTTTTCGTACGACAGTAAGCCGTGTTAACCAACAAAAGTTAAAGAAGAAAGATCTAATCAAAAGGCTTCCTGGACAACCTTCTGTTAAGTTTAGACAATATGGTGGTTATGTGGCCGTCAACGAATCAGCTGGTCAATTTTTATACTATTATTTCGTGGAATCCATTAAAACTAATGACTCTTCTCCTCTTGTTATTTGGTTCAACGGAGGTATATATTTACGTATCTTACAACAAACGTTCTTTTATTAGAACTAATTATATATTCTTGTTACTATTTTCTCATTGAATTTTAATATCAGATGCATATGATCTTATAACCAACCTCTTGCTATTATCTAATTGTATTAATTTTTAGCTAAAAAGCGTTGAAAATAAAAAAAATTTGTGCACTAAACACAAACATTTCAAAAACAATATGCAGGACCTGGATGTTCTTCTCTGACATCAGCATTTCAAAGTCATGGACCCTTCCGTATACACAGTGACGGCAAAACGCTTTATCACAATCCTTATTCATGGAACAACGGTATATTTCACATTCATTATCTTATTATGTTCACGCAATATATATTATTTTTAACACAAAAAAAAATATAATCATATGAGTAAATATTTGATTATGTGTGGATTCGCAGCAAACATGTTGTATGTAGAAGCACCAGTACAAGTAGGATTTTCGTACACAAATACTCCATTTACATATTTTGACAGTCAGGGGGACTCTCTTACAGCAGAAGACAACTATATATTCTTGGTGAAGTGGTTAGAAAGATTTCCAGAGTATAAAGGAAGAGAGTTTTACATCGCAGCTCAGAGTTACGGTGGTCATTATGGTCCCCAACTTGCCCAGCTTATCCTTCATCGTAAAACCCAAACCTTCATTAACCTACGAGGAATGATCCTTGGTAATCCAGCATTTGACAACGAGATAGATTCAAAGGGTAATGATGAATATTTGGTGGGTCATGCTTATATCACCAAAGAATTGTTGGCCCACAAGAACCAAATTTGCGGCTCAACTATAAAAATTAATGTATTTAGCGAGTGTGGGAAGGCGGATGCTAAAATTAGTATGCTTACACGACAACTAGACCTCTACAACATATATGCTCATGTGTGTTTAAACTCCACGGTTACAAGCAAGCCAAAGAAATACACAACTGTAATAGAGTTTGATCCGTGCAGTACACACTACATGACAGCATATCTTAATAGGGAAAATGTTCAAAAAGCAATGCATGCCAACACCACGAAACTATCGTACCCGTGGAGGCAATGCATGGATAATACTGGAATGTATTATAATTCAACGGACTTGGATGTCTCAATGCTTCCTACCCTCCACGAGCTGATGGGAAAGGGTATTCGAATATTGGTGTACAGTGGAGACTTGGATGCTATGGTGTCAGTGACATCTACAATGCACGTGCTTGAGAAATTAAATTTAACAGTTGAGAAGACATGGCGCCCATGGTTTAGCGGAAGAGAAATGGGAGGGTATACAGAGGAATACAAAGGAAACTTTACATATGCAACCGTGAGAGGAGCAGGTCACAGTGTGCCTAGTGACCAGCCCATACGTGCTCTTACTCTCTTTACTAGTTTTATTCGTAACACTCCCCTCCCTCATTTGTAACTTGGACTACTTATATAAGACAGTTTGGTCCTCTTATTTGAAAATATCATTACTTCAATAAATAATATATAAGCTCATATTCGTATAGTAACATATGTGAAGAATCGTTATCTCTCCGGTAAATGATGTCGAGACAAATGGGTGGAAGGTATCTAACAAAACGAAACAATATCAACATTACATATAGTTCCATAGTATGATATAAGTTCTGGTAATATTCAATATTGTTAAATAAATTCTCTTGGTGAAATGGTGTACATGCTCAGAAAGCCGCCATCACTGCTGCTTCTTCGTCACAGCTATGAGAATTTAATATGTTACAAGATTCTCAACTTCTTGTCATACTTCTCATTGCCACAAGTAGGGAAAATGGCTTATTCATATACCAACTATCGATCATGGTTACTCAACATACATGAGCTATATACATGTGTCAGTTTATACATCAACTCATATAATTCGGGTAAAACGTACATTGATAAGTTAACAAGTGTTGAGTCGGTTGGCACGTCACCAGGTCATCAATAATCAAACTATTTTTAATCATAAAAAAATAAAAATTACATTTAATTTTAAGATAGTAAAAAACTAGAATTTACAATAATTTGTTTTA